CTCAGGATAGTTGATGTTATCAAATAAAATGCTTTGAACATTTTCAAGCATTACTCATTAGCATCCAGCAAATATTAAAATGTTGATATTATTTTCGATTTTCTTTTCCTTTAACTTTATTCCATTAGAGATGATGCTTTAAAAGGAATTCAAACTCTTAATTAGGAGTTAAATATGTAAGTTGTGTTAGAGTTTGATTTGAATAATTATGTGTAAGCAAATTAAATATATTTATACCTAAAAGCCACCAATATGTGAATCCAACGCATCTTTTATGTAAGAGAAAATAACACCTCTCTTCTAATCCAAATTAACCCAAATCGATTCGTGTCAACGTTTGGACTTATTCATCAATAAAAGCATGTAGAAATTGATCAAACAGATTGGTGCTATTATGGAAAAGAAGGGTTAATTATATATTACTTCGATCTTTATAATTTTTAAAGTAAAACAAATAATCTCATTTATCCTAACACAAAAAAATATTATTTAAACGATAATAATAGACAAAATGATAATTTTAATATCATTTTCGTTTTTAACATGTTAAATGTTAAAATTATTTTTTTATCGATAAAATTATTAAAAATAAAAAAATATTAAAATTATCTTTTTGTTTATACTTTCGTACTGATTCATTATCACGTGTTATATTTTAAGTTAATGCAATAGACGATATTAAGACAATGAGATTATTTATTTTATTTTTAAAATTACAAAAATCATAATAAAAATCTTTTAAGTACTAATTAGCTCCGAAAAGAATACTGGGTCAGGCACCGCTTCGGATTTGGGTCGATCTGAACCGGCCCATCCTAAACCCGGTTCGATATGAACCGGTGCGGGTTTTCGCTCGACGAAAAATGAATACCATCTGACCGGTCCGAGTTTTCTCGTTCTTCGTTCTGTTCGAAACCTAATGCTGAACATGAGAGTTCAGCTCCTCCGTCGTGCCCATCTCCTGGCCCGCCACCTCCGCCCTCCTCCGCCTCTCACAAAACTCTCTCCCTCCGCCGCCGTCCCCTTCCTCGGTACCTCCCTCCGCCCCTTCTCCTCGCCCTCGGACTCCCAAACTCCACCTCCTCCCTCTGAATCCAGTTCCGCGGCGCCACCGGCCTCTATTTCCGAAGCCCGCGAGGCCGATCCCCCCATCGAGGACGTCAGCAACAAAGGTGGAAACCTGATTGCACTTCCTGTCAAATTTTTATTTCTTTCCTCACGAAAAGTTGGATTTTTGTTCCTATTTTTTTATGCTTGATTAGAGCTGAAGCGCCGGCTGGAGAAGTACTACGAGGCGGATGACGAGGAGCCTCTTGGGCCGGTCTTGGAAGCAATTTTGGCGCGGCGTTTGTCCAAGAAGCACGAGGAGACCGATGACGAGCTGATGGAAGAGCTGCGGATGGCACCGCTGTCGAATGTGAAGGACCGGGAGTTCGAGTCGGACTTTGAGGAGTTGCACGATACGGATGAGGAGATAGAAAATCTTTACGATACGAGGCAATATGTGGAGAAGAAGCTGATGAGCGATGAGTTCTTCAATATGGATGACCGCAAGTGGGATGATATGATCAGGGAGGCCACCGAGAAGGGGTTCTTGAAGGACACCAAGGAGTGCGAGGAGATCCTGGAGGATATGCTCAACTATGACAAACTCCTACCAGGTAAAGAAACATAAAAGAACTGTAAGTAAAACTGCAGCTTTAGTTGATAACGACTTGCTACCATTTTTTTCTCAACCTAATGCAACTTAAATAGTCAGTTCCCAGTCTTGATGTTTATATCGTGATCAGCGGTCAAGCAAAGAAGAAATTAAGTGTTGATAACTTGATACAAGAAGATGAAACTATTAGGGAAATTTAAATGTGATAACCACTTGCCAACATCTATGTATACTTAATGCAAGTTGTATAGTAGTCCGAACAATGGATTTTTATATATCATGATTAGTCGAACCAGGGATATTAGAGCTCCCGGTCTTGGATAACTATTTCAGGCGTTGAAACTGTAAGGAATTGTGTGTGTTCCAGTGAACTACCTGGAATAAATACAATGGATTTAGTTTGAATTACATGTACAACCAACAAAGTAATACTTATAAATACTTACTTGTATTAGACAATTATAGTTTGTGGGGATAATATTTTAAATACTCGCATGCCAACAAGCTGCTCATCTTCTATTCTCAATGCCGTCACAAAATAGTGTCTGTAAACTATTTAAAGTTGGTTATTGGGCTTGAGACTGAGCTCAGAGTTGTATGCACAGTTCCTCTAAAATTAGATGCTATGTGCATGACAGTTAACTGGCACACGGTTCATCAATGCTACTTTACTCATAGTGATGACTAGATTCTTATATTTGACCTAGGTTCAAATTTGATCGTCCAATCAATTAAGGCCTAGGCGTGACCCAAGCATCACCTTCTTGTTGGTAGTGCCCACCAAATCAAGATACTTACCAATCCTTAGTTTATCTATGATACTTCATCAGCCCTATTTGAGCCCAGTATGATCAATTTGAAGAACCAGGGCACCACATCAGTAACCAAATCAGTGTGGTAAGTCTTTGCACATTCGTGGACCACTCCTGCAACAATTTGATAGTTTGGAGATACTTTACTTGGTTACTTTGAATTAGATTAGATTCATTACTTGTGTAGAATTTTGGCATGCTTAATTAAAAATAGGTTTTACTTGTGTAATATACATGCATATTTTGCTGTTATCTGAAGAAAACAGCTAAAACAATAGTTGGCTCTTTAAGCTTCCACCTAGTCTCGGATTTCTCTCTCAGACCCACCTCCTTTTTGTTTTTCCTGTGAGACCTGCTTCGTTTTTGTTTGCTTTCTCAGACCCACTAATTTTGTTCTCTGTTTATCTTATTTTCTTAAGTTAGTTTTGTTTACATCACAGGTTGATCCTAGACAAAGCATGAAAAGAAACAAAATTATGTTCATGCTACGTGTTAGGTTTAAACACCAAAATTATGTTTTTTTTTTTTCTAAATGTCTTACATCAGAAGCACAGGCATTTTGCCCTTGTTGCATACGAGTAATGGCATGTTAATTGGCATTACTTGCCAAAGATGTTCTAATTCTGTTTCCTGCCTGCATCAGTTTCTTTTATTGTGTTTTGAAAAATTTTCTTTTGATAGATTAAACTTTATCAGAAGATCTCTTCAGCTGCTGCTTTAATTTTAGAACTGTTCAAGAGTCAATTTGGTGGTGAGCATAGTTTATGATATACATAAATAGTGTCAAACGTATGTTTTGTGCATGTGAGCTTCTTGATGGGAAGTGGATATAAACAGTGTGCTTCCCGCTCTCTGCCTGCTTCCCAAAGTTTACCTTTCTTTGTTATACATAATGGGAGAAGGGAGAGGTTTCCTTCTATGGGCCATGGCCACTACCGTATAAAGATTTGATTTGTGTTGAATTTCTATACCAGTTTCAAGATCCGACTTCGTTACTGTCTGTTGAAAATTATTTTTTTATTATGTCATTTTCTTAGATGAGATAAAACAGAAGGTGGAGACAAAGTTCGATGAATTGGGAGCCATGTGTGAAAGAGGAGAGCTTGAACCTGAACAGGCCTATCAGTTGTTTAAAGAGTTTGAGGATGAGATGGTTTTGGAATATGCCAAAATAATGGAAGCAGAACAACCTCCTGAAGAAGATGCAATTGCTGAAGCAGACGAGAATGCAGAATTAGATGACCCGCCTGGTGAAGGACCTATTTTAAGATGGGAGTCCCGTGTCGTATTTGGTCCTGGTGGTGATGCATGGCACCCACAGAATAGAAAAGTTAAACTTTCAGTGACTGTGAAGGAGCTGGGTCTTTCAAGGCACGCTTTTAAGAGATTAAGGGAAGTAGTTGGCAAAAGGTATAATGCGGGTAAAGATGAGCTCACTATAATCAGTGAAAGGTATGCTGATTTCATGCTTAGTAAATCATACTGTGTACTTATATGTGCTTGTCATCTTGCTCTGTAGTTTCTCATGAATATTTTGACAGTTAGCCTTCTTTTCTATGCTGGTACTTATACCTCATGCGACTTAGCATTGTTGGAAGTCTACCTCTTCTCTGTATCTTCCATTTCGATAGTTCATCCTTATGCGACAAACTTGTAGGTGGCCCTGCAAGTATACAGAAGCTGCAGTGCTGCATATTTATTTGCATGCTTAAACTATATGTGGAAGCATGATTTCAAGATGTTATTATCTCCCTGAGCAGGAATGGCCTGAAGCATTTAACTGCATGAGTTTGATGAGTTTTTACATAATGATAACACCATTCGGGCATGGTTTTAGATGATTAAGCATTCACAATAGCCTTTTTTTTCACATTAATTACTCTGCAATTCTCAGTTCTACAAGGTTACAAATCTCTTGATCTTTGTGGTTGCTTCTATTTAACATGCTTGTCCTAACTCCAAGTAAACAAACCAGAATACCATGTGAAAACTTTCCTTGTCACTTTCAGGTTTGAACATCGGGAGGAGAACAGAAAGGATTGTCTTAGGACACTCTATGCGTTGATAGAAGATGCAGCAAAAGCTGATAAGCTGGTAGAAGAGACTCTAAACGCCTATGTCAAGGACCAACTCAAAGCTAATCCGTACTTCATGGAGAGGTTAAAGGCTAAAACTGCAAAGTCACAAGTGTGTCACTCAGGTGCATGACAAAATAATCCTTCGAAGTATTAACAAATAAGCAATTGTGTTTTGACCCGAACATCGTCCTGTGGATTATGACAGTAACTGTTTAGAGTTTGATTCTTTCTGCTCTGTTTGAACAAATTCATCTTTTAATCGGATTCTGTTATATTTAAATACTGTTGGATCCCTGGAAAATAATTAATTTATGCCTTGTTACAGTTAGACAGATCGTCTTTTTTACTTTCTCTCTTTTAGATTGTTCAGAACAATTGTATATTCTCAGAATGGTTGTGAAAATATAAGCTCGCTTATTTTAGTGGTATAACAGGAAACACAAGTTGAGCTGCCGGGTGAAGTGTCATTGTGCAAAAATTATAGAGATAGTATGCAGATTTTTTATTTTGTTTGACCTTCTATTTTATCCTTTTGTTTGAATCTATCCTTTCTTGACATACGAGTAACATCTGTTTCACGTCAAGGTGATGAGCAAGCAACAATCTGATTCCTGTTGGGACAAGCCCACATGAAGCAACTTAGTCCCTTCTATTGTACCCGAGGTGATTCTCAAAGACATTTCATTAATCTACACCGCAGGCATGTCACAGATAAAACAATGGAGTGTACACACAAGGGATTCATGCATTCTTCCAAGGGGCGTGAAAATGTCACTTCTAAAGTTCATCAAATTTGAACTCCTTTGACAGGCAAACACCAATAACAACAAAGAAAACGTGTATCCCATGTTTCTGATGGATCACGCATACGTCGACTCTAAGCATGAGTCAACCAATTCCAATAAGTTGGGATTCTCCAGAGCTGCCGCTACTCGTTCTTTATCGTTTAACTGCTTATTCACTAAGAATGAGAAATGAAATTATTACAAAAGCTGGTACCAGCAACGAAAATAAAGGTGAGGTCAGCAGTTTAAATAGGAAGAATGCATTTACCTTCAGCTTCAGTTGCATGTCTTCCTGGAGCCACCCTGATATCCACCTACAAGAAAAAGTAGATATTCAAAGAGTAGATCAAGATTTAAATGCATGATCAACATTAACAATTGTCTCCCACATTCCGAGTAGTGGGTTAGAACATTCTACTGTTGCAAATCTAGTAAATAGTACCAAACAGTTTGTCTACGAGTTTACCTATAATATTCTAATTGTAAATAGTACCAAGGCTTCCTCCTAAAGTTCCAGTAGACTAGGCTGTGATATCTAATCCCCGATTCGTCTGAGTTTAATTGGGGCTTGCAGTAATGATCCGTACTGAACTACTTGATATGTAGAAAGGGGGGTAAGGAAAACACAAGTCTTGAAGTTGTAATCTTGCCTTGTATGTTTCTGATATTGGTCTCATATCATGTGCTGTTAGTAGATCCATACATGAATAAAGTAGTTGAACAATGGGCAATATTTGATATCAGCATATCCTGAATAAAGTATAGACCTATGCCAACCTACAGAGATTGGTTGACAAATATCCATAGAAATTTGAACCAATTGGGATCTAATTTGTATGTGATATACCACCAGTACAGTATTGTCCGTATATATCATTGGTCTGGTACTTGTGCTCCTATTTAGCAACTGTCTTGAGATCAGGATAACAATAAGGGTAGGCAATTAGTTCAGCTTAGGAATAGAAGCAGAGCTATAATAAATAATAATGGACAGCATTTCTGGTATTAGTTCCCTTGTTGAGGCTCATTCCATTCAATCTGCCACAGAAGCATCCAACTACAGCAAAACATAACTCATCAACCTAGCCTCCAGCATCATATACTGGTCTGTCATAGCATTCATCTTTATGAGGCCAAGCCACTCATTAAAAAACCAGCACCTGGAGAACCCTGTGCCAAAGTGCATTCCCTTTTCAGAGAAGTTTTCTAGCTTCACAGGGATAACTGTATTCTCAAACAATCGACCAACAGAATTCCACAATCACCAGCTTGGTAAGCCAACTGGCACTCTGGCAAACACTCAAAAAGACTTGGAACCAAGGGAAGCAGCTTTAATCAAGCTTCTCAATAATAATATGTTTTTCCTTTTGAACCAATATATGTATCCTTTTCGTTGTGTCACTTATTCCTCTTCCATTTTTTTTCCTCTTAATTCCTCTTCCAACTTAATCAAATAACAACATCTTCCTAGATTCATGATGTTCATATTCCCTTTCCAAACACTGCCTTTGTAGGATGTATTCCCAAAGGTACAAACAAATGATTTTAAGGTACCCTAAAACTGAAACAATGACTAATTGGCAAAAAGGGACTTTATAGCCATTTGGTAAAATTAGCTAGATATTTGCTCATACAATATAAACAAAATCATATTTTCATCAGAAAAACTGTCAATTCAACTGTTAATGGACATCAATAAATTTAGTATATGTAATATGTCAGACCAACTTGGGTCTTATAGATGTACCATACTAATCTATAGTATCATCATCGAGGAACCCAAACCACCTGCCATGGAATCACGACATTCAATTTGGTGGTAGGAACATGTATATGATATTCTTTTATAACCAATTACCACGCACAATTATTTTAGATGAATCTTAACTTGTTTGTGTACCTAGATTCCATAGCTGACCCTTTTCATGTATATATTTCAACCCAACATATTATTTTCTAGACTTCACCCACTTATATTATATAAATCTTGACTTTATTAGTTAGGAATCGTTCACGGATAAGTTCTTTTAGTGTTTCGGATGCCAAAACCTTAAAAAAAAGGGCCAGACACGTATCAGCATACCATGTTTTGGTACACTGGTATAGGTCAGGTACTCGGTACAGCATACATACCTTGGTCAAAAGCATGGGTTTTGATTTCAATCATGCCAGTCAGTACAGAAAGATATTTAGCAACTAACCATCGATTTTAATTTTGGACATGTGTCAATACAGACCCATATGTACCAGCCTGATGGCAGATTGATATGCAGATCGAGTAATTAGGCTTGATCCTTTCTGAAACCAAGTTTACCACCTGGAAAACTTACTGTACTAAGTCACTGGGTAGTAAGCTTGCTAGCTCTGTCCTGTCCTGAATAATTAGCTTATAACACCGTAGTAAGCTTGCCAGTTCTGAACTGTACCAAATGATTAGCTTATACCGTGGATTGATACTAATACCTAAAGGATCTGGCAACCGACTAGTATCAGTACCAAACTAAGTTTTCTAATGCTTAATTAGAAGTATGAGGACAAAAATGGGCACTATAAACTTCTACGTTTTGGTGGAGTATACACCTTAAGATGACAAATTTGATTGGGTTCACTTTGGTTGAACCACCGTATCTTTTGATGATCATCAGATCATGTTCGGTTTAGATTTAGGCCCAACTGTAGCCCAATCCATATTGGTAGCAGGTTGAAATTACAAAGTTCCAAAGGAAGCCCAACAAGTTGCTCAATTAATCTATCAGGTCAGGAGGGTTTGGTTTGAATCCAAAACAAGCTTATGTTGTAGCTTATAAGCAGCAATGGTCATGACTCTTTTAAAGTCCTACATCTAAAAGGCACATCATCCTTCTTACTAAAAGATCTGGTCTGAGAAGCAAACCTTGTAACGAGAAGGAAGACTGCGCATAAGCTTTACACGAAGGCAAAGTCCAATAAGCGTAGCCATACTACAATGCTCAATTGTTGGAGTAAAAGTGACCCTGCATAAAAAGTAAATAATTCTCAGAAAACAACTCTCATAACCATATGACTAAATGACCATATCAAAGTGCAATAAAATGTTGACTTGCCTAACATAACTCTGCTTATCATTGGCTTCAATCGAGTCCTCTGTTACCACTTTCAACTCTTCCAACGAATATGGATGTTCTGGGTCCTTTATATCTCTTATATAGTCTCAAAGTGTCAAGAAAACAAAGTATTTTATACATTAGAATACATGCACTGAAACAAAAGCAAAGATACAACAACAATCCATAATGTTCCAACTATTTGAACTCGGCTACATCGATCTTTTACAGCATTGAACACTGTACAAAACAATATTCTAATAAAGTCTTCTTAGATATCCCTCTACCTTTCCTTACACCACCGGTATAAATCATCTCACTTCTTTTGGTAACAAGATTCATAGATCTCCTAAGCACATGTATTTTCTCCAATTTTATCCTCTATCGGATATCAGAACTATACCTAATTGTTCACGATATTTCTTTGTTATCAATCCTAATAACTCCACATATCCATCTCAACATTTTCAACAACACAGACACTTATTAATCATCCAACACTCAGATCATAAAGCACAATTGACCCAACAACTTCTAAAAGGAATTCGATGATTACAAAAAAAACTCTTGATACACCTCTCTACATTAATTATCCATCACCAATCTCTCTATTTTTTGACACCTAAAATAATAGTATGATGGTCTACCTTGCTCACTTACCCTTAGATTGCAAACCTTATCTGACTAATTTTTTACACAAAATATTACTGATGGTGCACCTATTCACTCATCTTATGTTGAGGGGTTTGAAATTTCATCGATTTGTACCCAAAATATTAAGGGTTTACCTAACAAATACCTGACTCGTTCACCTAAGATGAAGCATTTAAAATCTCATTACACAAATTTTCAGTATAAGATATTAGTCTAATGATGAAATACCTGAGTCACTTGGTAGTGTACTATACTCACTCACTTGCCAACCTTAGACAAATGGTTCAAAACGTCATGCTATAGATTTGAAGATACTGGTCGATTTAGCTAGTAAAGACTTTAACCGCTAATAACAAGATCTCTTGATCAAATCTCATCTTCACCAATTAACTTTAACAAAAAGAAAATCTTCATCTTATTAAATAATTAATTCAAGATATCTACTAAAGCTTTTTGTCCATCTAAACTTCAAATCTTTAGTTTTTCTTTTTAATATTACTAAAATCAAAATCACATCTCATACATTCAGCCTTAGTTCTATTTAATATAGAAACCTTAGCTTCCAAGATTTGTCTCTGTTCCTCACGTTTAGAATTAATTATATTTGAACTCTTATTAATTAAAATAATGTTATCAGCAAATGAATTATAATATGGAGGTCTATTCTATATATGACTAATAAGTTCATCGATTACCAATCTAAAAGGATAAGGACTTAAAATTGATCCTTAATGCAATCTTATACTATCAGGAAACTCATTAGATACACTGCTTAAAATTCTAATACTAATCATTATATTCTCATACATATCTTTTATATCATCAATATAATTAGTGAGTACCACTTCTTTTTATAAACCCACCATAATAGAGTTTTATGGACACTGTCATAAGTTTTTATCTCTCTAAACTTTTTCATTAGTTGTGCTAACAAATAGCTTCTACTACTGATGCATATACCCAAATTAATTTTTCAAAACACTTCTTTTATAATGTGAATCATTATCTTAATTCCTCTATAATTTAAACAATTTTAAAATCTCCATGTTCTTATAAATTGGTACTGCAAAGCTCTTGTTTTATTCATTAGGTATCTGTCTAAATCTTAAAATTTTATTAAACAAACTCTTCAATGAAACAAAAGCAAAATTAGAAAGCAGGTAAAACATCAACATTAATAGGTTATGACGATATCATAAAAAGCCAACAAGTTCTGACAGACCATTAAGAATACAATTACGTGCCTAGCACAATATAACCAAAAGCAGCAGATCTCATTCCCATCATATAAGTCAACAATAACAATCAATGTTGCTAAGGAACAAAGAACATTAGTACAAATGCAAGAATTGGAAACTGATTTAGTCTTACACCTCATGGTTAGGACCATTAGGTGTAAATGTGAGCACCTATTTTTTAAAAAATAGCATAACAAGATCTTCCCAACACATAACAATGTTCTAAAAAAAAACACCATGACAATGTTAATTGGTGAAATTTCTTAAATGTGACAGTTCTCAACTAAAATGTTCATATTCTATTGGACATCATAATAATAGTATCGGTGAGTCTTTTAGTAATCTGATGTTATAGATGAACATTACACGTAATGTCCATTATGTCTAATGGATATAATGTCCTATAGTGAGCTTTAACCGCAACCAAAAGGAAGATCTCCTGTCCTCATCAAGCCTTTACTTTTTGGCAAAATTACATGTATGTTCCTACAAAGTCGGTAGCTTCAGAATTATCCCTCTAATTTAGTTTTAGCATGTATCCTTAGAAACCTAAAAATTTGCATATATAACCCTTGCACTTAAGTCCATCAGATTTGAGTATTAGTTGAAACTCTATTTGATGTAACCCTCGTAAAACTAGTTATGAACTTATGATGTAAAGAATACTAGGGGCATATTAGGTACTTCAGACTTGTATACACTTTTTAGCTCAAAAAGAACTATGTTAACCACAAACAGAAGTGGTTAACTTGAGTTCTCTAGATGCATGTTAAAGGGCAGGCATGTGGAGGATCTTAACATCTGGAGGGCTATATTGAAATTTGTAAGGGTAAAATGATATTCCACCATAGAAAGATATGCAAAACTCATATTCTCTATGCTAATCCCTGGTTTGCCCTAGCAAATCTTTTCTATATATTTGGCATCACTTTTGCAAGATGGCATTGAATAGCTAGCTAGTGCAAAAACTCAGTCAAATCACCCATGAAGCCTTCTTAGTTTTGAGCTGATCCACAGCCGAAACCAATAATGGTGAAAAAAGGTTAGAAAAATGATGGCAATTGAAATGTTCTTTCTAAATGTTTGACTAGAGAATAAAAAATAACATCCAGAAAAGACTTTTGTTCACTTACATTAGTAGGTAAAAGCTAGGTTGAAATTCAAACCACCTAAACCTACACAACCTCAATTGAAACCCAGTGTTTTCAATTTGAAACTATATATAATTACCATTGGTTTGCATTACCCATTTCACGAAATTTGAAGTTTCAGTTAATAACTTCAGCATCTGCTTATATACCTCAAGACGTATATTTTAGCATTCAACCATACAAATAATCTAGATGACCACATTGTCGTCCGATGCATATGTTACAAGTCATATCATGAGCCAATTTCATGAGTGGTCTGCCAACAGAGCAGCCTAGAAGTGTCAAATCCTATAATGTTGAGGACAACAAAAAAATAACATCACAACTGATATTTATATTTCAAAATTATGTCATAAGAGACAGAGAAACCCTACACTGCTAATCAAATTAAAGGCTTAAATTAACTAAGATTTTAGGAAAAGATGGACCAAAATTAAAAATCAATTATCTTATTATGCTTGCCTCATGACACTTAGATCAACTTCATTTTCATGTGTACATCTTAACAAGCTTCATTCTGTTATTACATTATAATCCATATATATGTTTTTTATGTCACTGTTGTCACAAAACCAAGCCAGTTAAAATTTTTAGGAAGAAGAAAAGCTGAAGAACCTGGATGACTATTCGTTTAACCTAGAAAGGACATCAGAATGGATCAAAAGATGGTATATAGTCAAACATGTTTCAGGAAAAGGATACCAAAAATTTCTTGTTCATCAATCGGCTCCACTGCATACTCATCTATGACGGTTGGCACATTGCGAGCCCGCCGTTCTTTCTTTTTATAAACTATGGGATTAGCATTGAGCAATCCAACCACCATTTCTTGTATTCTAAGCAGGATAAGCAAAGAGTAAAAGTGATGAAGCTCTGTCTTTGCCTTGTGCTTCCTGTAGAAAGAAAGTTCACTCAACCATCATCATAAGTTAACAACAATCAGAATTGAATAAACTGACAATATATAAAAACATAAAAAAGAAACACCCTCCACTTCTAGATTATACAGATTCCATTACGATGAGAAACAGAGGCGAAGTGTGAACCCCAAAGCTGAAAAAAAGGTTTACAGCTAGCAAAAAAGTCTGCATTCACTTTGCATATAGACTTTAATTAACACAATTCCTTGCTGAGACAGCAGTATATCCATATTATTTCCAGAAGATTTGTTTAGATCTTAAATGTTGCAAATGTACATAAAGCATCACAAACTATTTGAATTCAAAAGAGTATTTGAAAGGAAGTAGCAGTTATATCTCATGGTTAAGGCCAAAAAGTAGTCATCTCTTATTTGAATGAACAATAATTTTATTGTTTTGTGTTTTATTCTTTTTTCAGACTTACAATGGCTCAATTGGTCTCTCTATAACTCAGGAATCTCAACTCAAGACTGATGCTTACTGACTATAAAAGTGATTGAAATAGGAATTCTGAGTTCCTAATATCATATTTTTGTTGATTTGACCTTGTGTGAACTGTAACATTTGTATTTTTTTTTCAACATCAAATATTAAACAACAAACCCCAATGATTGAGAATAAACTGAGTGGTGAATTCTTTTTGCTTCAATATATAATATCTCCATAGACATTGTCCAATCATCATTATTTAACAATTAAAAGGGTGTTTATTCAAGTAATAACAACTATGATTATTGGGGTACAATGTCTACACTCCATGAGGATTTTTAAATCAAATCAAACTAAAACTCATTCTTGAAGAATACTCTTCATCCAACTTGCGCACAAAACCATTCTCTAAATTCGGACCAATAGAACAATATCACTACCCTATGAACTTGCAGAATCAAGTTTCACCAAAAAATAAATTTTAAATAAATCTAGATCATGAAATCAGAATATTAAAGGAATGAGACTAGTCAAATATAAGGAGCGGAAGTTCCTCATGCACTACTCCACTTTGCTTGGGAACTAATCATTATCATCATCAATATCACCACCATTGTCAAAACCACAATCAAACAATATCATGCAATGCAAGACGAACTAGTCGTATAGGAAAGGAAGGTCGGACAAAGTTGATGAAACAGGATCAATCAAATGAGCCAGGCTCTTTCAACTCCAGAGTTTTCCGTTGCTAGCACCATCTTCCGCTCTCGTTCGCTCGGTGTTTATTGTTTTATCATGATCTCACACCACTTCCCCTCGGAATAAGATTCGATCAAGTCAAATTGGAAGTAAGAACAAGAATAAACAAAATATCACTAGATCTCTCCCTTTGGTTCTTTAGGTGCCACCAACATGTATAATCTGTGGACATTGAATTAGAAGACAAAATCTGAAGAAAAAACAGAGAGAAATAAAGAAACGTGTTTTGAGAGTGAACAAAATAGCCTCACAACACACGGCACGAGGTGTCGAATGATCGGGAGGGGAGAGAAGGGGAGATACGAGGAGAAAACAGGACAGGGGAAGAGAGAAGAGAACAGGATGAGGAAGAAGAGTACCAGAGGGGCGATGAAGCAGAAGCTCCGCTCTTGGCCGACGGCGAAGGCAGAGGAACCGAAAAGGCTAGGGCTCGTCGGCTCGTCGCGGGTGAGGTACGTATGTACTTTTATACAAGACTTGTGGAATCGACTCAGTAAACTCGAGAAGAGTCGCACCGACTTTATCGAGGCCAATCGCGAATCGAACCGACCCGATCAGAAGTCCGGCTCGGCAAGCGGGCCGACCGCCAGGCTTTATCTGGACCGCGGGAATGTTCGATCCTAGGGTCAAAATCGTGATTTTGGTTACCAATGTTCCCAAAAGCAATGCGACGAAGCCCTTCGGTTAATAAATCAATGACTGTTCGTGCATAAATGTTCAACAGGGCAAATATAGAGATGTAAAAACGAATGGCATTTTCTGCATAAATGTTCGACAGGGAACACTGTTCCTGAATCACAAGTAAAATTTATCATCTGGCTACGAGATGTCACCCGCCTAAGAACTTGGAACTCAAGTCATATCTTGTTTGTGCCCACTTTAAGTTCAGAGAAATCCTGAAAATTTAGCAGAATACAGATTCAGCTGCGTACAAAAGTCATCAACAAAACCATGGCACAAGGCTACAGAAACACCTTTTCTCTCTTGCGCATCAGGCACAAGCCACCAGATCAGGTGTCTCGGCTTCGACCGACAACAAGGCTTGCCGCACCTTTCCCACCCAGGTATCCAGCCGATCACGCAGAGAACTTATTTGAGGAATTCCCAAAACCCTCGGCTGCACCCAGGAAACATGGACTGTGCCCTCCACTTGATCAATTATGCCTTCGATGAGGTGAACCTATAAACCATTGTGCCCATGATCAATATAAGGCAGAAACAATAAGAAGGTTTGACACGCATCTTGGCGACCAACTAGACATTGCAAAAACGGAAATATGTTCTTAGATATGCATCCAAGATGACCAAAAACCCTGAAACCACAATGCCTAATGATAATCTTAGTTGGGAGATCTTTCGACTTATCATGCCCAAATCAACATCAAGGCACCATTAGCAAATCCATTTTAATTGCAGTGGTAAGGGTTGATGAGGTCAAACCCTGCGACTAGAGCTTCAGCCCTGACTCCTCCAGCCTTCTTTTCCATCAGAAATATGCAAAAACATTATCTTAATGTGGCACTACAAACAAAATACAACACGAACAACCCATAAAGCGCAACAATTAAGTCAGGCTACATCAATCTTTTCCTACCATGAAGATCAAATTTCCCCAACTAAATAATAGTCACACTACAAACGAAATACCAAACAGAAATTTTGTATCAAGAAAAAAAATGCCATCAGCTACATAATTTCCAGAGAAATAGCTATAATTAATTCACAGCCTGAATGAAATCATCCTGCTGATGTAACTAAAACAAAGCAGCCACTTCATTCACAATCATCATGCACAACAGGAGTCAGCAGGAACAAGAAAAATACAAACAAGAACTGAACTAGTTAACCCCCATAAAAAAGCATATAGAAAGAGGAGAAACAGGAAATACCCTCCCTAGGAGAGACAGATGCAGAAGTGAAGAGAAAAATGATATAATTCTTGCGCTTACAGTTTGATTGGTCTGATGATGGAAAAATCAAGTAATTTGTACTAGGTATCCTGATAATAACCATCAGAAACAATCAAGAGATCATCATCTATGGGGCCTACTGTCCTGCCAGCACTTTGATTAATTGGTAAGTATGAAGCAGGAAAAAAGAAGGTTAGGCATAGGAGTACTTTATTTTAAAAGCTGAAGAAAAAAAAAATTTATGCTTGTAAGATTACAAGCATTCAACCAACAGTCCATGTTGAGTTGGTTGGGCAAGCAATTATTACTACTTCATATGAGGCTAGTCATGGGCTCAATCCATTGTAATAACAAAAATTTCTAACACAATGGTTGGCAGTGCTAGACTCAGTTGCCTGACAGATTTAGTCAGTATCGTGGCTTGATTCCCAATATGATGTTCACTCGGGGTGGTGATATTGCCCCGAATGCCAATTATGTAACAGGTATAACCAGCAAAATGCCCACCATCTTTTAGGTTCCAGCTTCTTGGTCCTCGTAATTGACGGTGGAATGGTTGGACCCTCTATGGCCTGAGCTCTAACGGAAAAAAAAAAAAATGAAAGATTCATGAAACAAAAAAGTTCCAACAATCATGCTAATCAACCAAACAAGTACCGCATGCCTACAAAATATGATCTTACCAAATGTTATGGGCTAAAACACCAGAAATGAGATAAATATAGAACACATAAATAGACATCCATAATGGTGTATTCCCTAGCATGAAAAACCAAATTATAAAAAACTGAAGTGAACAGGTCAAACACTAAGGTTGACATTTTGTGCTTCTCGCTTTCTTTCAGATAGCAAAATCTACCTCCTAATTTGTGTAATAGTTTATAAGAGAATGCAGAATTAGGTAAAAACTTACGGAGAGGCTTTTCATAAGAAGATATTCCACATCCTCAATCGAAAGTTTAGTTCGTTCAGCAATGACACTCAATGGAATGGTTCGATCTTCAGATGGCCGACTACAAGGAAACAAAGTGCAAAAGCAAACAACTGTATATCTGTGGAGTCACTTTGAAAAGTAATAACTTCATAATTAAATGAAAAATAAGCACAATTAGCAACAAACATGAGCCACATTTAGAAAAGGATTAATCTTTTCTAGCAGAAATTACCTTGAGATGATTTCCATCAAACATAAAATATTAATTTTTTCAAGTAGTTTCTTCTCATTCTCCACTAATGCCGGCTGTGCACATAAAGCGATATTATGTACACGACAAAGTTCTTGATAGCGAAGTAGGTTTCCACTGTTAAAAGCATGAAGGATATGGTAGAGCCACTCCACATTGGTCCCAGTCAGACTATTGATCTGCAAAACATCAAAAAATTATCAATTAACTAGAATCAGCACTCACTTTAAAAAAAATGAGATAGGTAAGCAACATCATGCATGTTAGTTTTATGCATTCACATAACCAAGAAAAAATTAGAGTAAAAGCAAAAAAAGAATTAAGAATTGCACCATGCAAAATAAATCAAGCTCTTTATAGAAGTTTCCTTTGTTTTGCATTTTCTCCATAAGATATCTCCATCACTTTTGAATTTTATATATTTGTTATTTCATGTACTCCTGAAATCTTGAAGTTTCGTATAGAGTACTGATGCAAATTAACCGAGAGGGTGCACAGGCGTATTGATTTTTTAAGGGTTTACACAAAAAAAAGGTATATGAAACTACCACTTTGTTCCAATCTACAGGCAGCTCACTCATGAGATTCTTTTCATATTTGTCTCTGAAGTTTAAAAGTCCAAGCAAATCCAAGCGTTGAGATGTATAAGTCGACTTTACAAGATGGATATGCATATGACTCCAATTACAAGGATATTATAAAATTCAAAAACTAAGTGATGCAAGAAAAGCTGAAAAGTAACCCTCATAAATGCAGGTGTCCCTTGCATCCTATTATTGCACTGTTTGCAATATTTGTTTGTGGAAGTAACAATCTTCCATGAGGCAGCAAGTAGAGCGAGAACAAGTGGTAGATACAAGGTCATTGCAGGAATAAAGATATCAGAGGCAAGTGAGGCTGGAAGAAAAAACATAAAGGAGAAAGACACCAAAGAAAAACTACATAAGGTATAAGGATAACACTGTTTTGATTTAGAAAAATTCCATCATAGATTCACTCTAAAAATCCAGAAATGATCATTATTATGGATAACTAAAAGACTTGAGAAGAGTTTCTCTTCCAAAAAGACTAAGGAGATAAATCAAATGAATGTAAATTCTCTTAGCAGCCACTGATTAAATAAGACGATAACTGCCTCTTCTAGTACTCGTTAAAAGATTTTCATCCAAAAAGAAACCAAGCCATAAGCTTCATTCCCAGTGCCATTTAGATTGTTTTGGAGACATGCAGCATTTCTTTTCTGCTAACCAATGTTTGAGTCCAAATAGAACTCTCAAAATGCATTAGGAGAAAGTACCGAAGGTCCTGTTGATGCCACACAAACATGAACAGTAATTGAACTCTATAACAACCAAAGACTCCTAATTAGAATCAAATCTGAAGCTAAGTTATTCACATAATTGACTCACTAATTTAATGTGAATATGAATTGACTTAACCTGAATTAAAAATTAACCTAACCTACCAAGTATTGATTTGTATAAAACTGCACCAATCGCTTCTATTGTGCAACATTATACTGTCGTGATTGCATTGTGTTGCAAAGATCCTTCATGTTCAAGATCTGGTGTAAAATGCCAATTTAAGTTTATTCAACTGTATCATCTGGCAAATCAGCTGCAAACTTGTTAACACTAGTTAGTCACCACCAATGCTTGTATCCATCAATCTAAAAACTATAAAAGTAGAATCCCACTTAGAACCAATTAACCAACTACAATATTGACTCTGGGTCTAACTTGAACATGAAATGATGTAGCCATGAAACTAAAGACAACAGGTGTTCCCTTTTAGGATAGAAATTGTGTCATTATTTTTACAACTCCAGGAAAAAAATCAATAAACCAATACTGCATTGGTTTAAGTTGCTCATTTTTCTTTTCCCTTTCTGTAACTCTAACTATTGGTAAAACTTGATCATGCTTCATGTATAATTATCACTAGTAAATAATACAGAGTGATCATATAATCAATTGTCTAAAATGAAAAATCTGATTCTATAATTAATTGTCTACAATGAAAAATCTTTCTATGCCAGTTTCTATCCATTTCCTATTAACTCTTATATGCTTTCTCCTGCTGCTCACACCAATGTTTCATACCATAGCCTTCTACCTTGTCAGCCCTCTAAATGTCTTTCTTAATCTTCTGTTTTCTGCCTCAGTGTTGGAAAATTATTAGTATATTACTACCAGACAAGACCATGTCAGTCTTGAAAAACATATCAGAAATAGATTGCAAACCAGGAGTTCCAAGGCTCACAAAATCTGGACCGGAACCAGCTAGGGGTGATAAGATCAGGATTGGCTAGAGAACTCAACAGCCAAATAGCATTTGTTACTTTATTCTGCAATAAGCCTGAATAACTTATTTGAAAATATCTCAGGAAAAAAATTAATGATAAAGTTAAGCATACATAAACACCTACAAAAACTCTCCAACCTCAAAATCATGATCAGACTAACATAGCATAGTTCAACATTAGATACGAAAATGAGAGTATGAGACATTTATTTCTTAACTCAAAACCAAATAGCATTTCCTCTTCTGTGCATATATCATTTGCTAGTTTAAAGTAGTCTTCAACTATTCCCAACCTTCTTAAGAATAATAATTATTTTGGTAGTACACTATAAGCGGTACCACTAACTAAGAACTGCTACAGAAGATTTCAGAGTTACCCTAGAAAAGAAAAAATCATTTGCAAATATACAAACACCAACTTGTTTGACAAAATCTATAACTACAATTAAAAGTTCTCTAGAAACCCCTTCTTGAATCCTGTCAAAAATGTCCTAGCAAACTTTCACTTCGCAGAAGGTAACTCAAGAGATATTTTATTATTTAATGCTGAACATCAGGCTTACAATATAATAAAAGCGAGACTCCCTTCTTTTGTTTTCCACATCGTGATAGCAAATTGCTGAAGCATCGATATATGTATGATAAAAACCTAAGGAGCCTTTGGAATAAACAGGCACTCAGCTCTAACATATATTAGTAAAATCCTTAATTAGGAAATTCTGGCAGGTCCTACAGAACGGTAAAAACAGTTGGGACAAGGCTATTGAGTTGCCATGTCTTATAAAATGTCACACGTAGTAATACACTAATACCTATATTACATTTAAAAATTTCCAACTTCCAATGCAATATTTGACTATAAATACACATTTATGTACTGATTTAAAAAATAAAATATTAGATTATGAAAATAGTTTATTAGTTACTTAATATACACAGCACATAAAAACAAAATAAAATCTGACAGTTTACACAAGTTGACCATGCAAAACTCTGTATTATGCATGAAAATATCAACATGATGACAAGTAATTAATACACAAAGTGCAGAAGATTTCAATTTGAATAAGCAAAAATAAAGGAGACAAAACAATGAGAAAGTGCTATAATGTAAATTAACAATTATAAGTGTCCTCTATATCCCGACACATTTTTTTTAAAAAAAAGGTCATCTACCATCATCAGCCAAAAGGAAAAAAAACTCTTAATTATTAGTAAAACTCTCTTACAATTGGATGGGCAAGCAATTCCCCGAAATTGAATACGTTATCACCGAGCAAGGCAGAAAGGGACAGATCAAATGCCAAATCCTGAAAAAAGGAAACAGGTAATAACTAAGATGAGATCAAGCTTCAACTGAAGGAGTTCCAGAACTAAGATGTGCAAGAACTCGAACACTTTTAATCATTAGATCAAACAATATTAACAAATTATGGCAACATAAAAATGGAAAATCATTTTTTTGTTCCATTTCTATCAAAAAAACAATAAATATAATCCTTTATTCCACTAGAGAACAAATTACCCGGGACAGACTACACACCATCGAACTTTCATAACTGATTAAATATTTAACAAAAATCACTTTAGTCAGGCCAATTTGTGACATCAGGCAAATTTGTGTCAAAGAATCAGAGAATACTGGAGGCATAAGTTGCTTTCCAACTTTATACAACACACCTGGTTTTATTTAGTCTAGGAACTCGAGTAAGAAAAACAAGCTTGCTAAAACTTCTTATAGCTGAAAGCTTGATGTTCGTGTTATCTCGGTCAAGAAAATCGCATCTTTCCGTAAATGCTTTCTGGTAATTTGCCATAAATAATGTGATTATATGAATAGAATAATTCTCTTATAATTTGGTGGGAAAAGAAGTCACAAAACATCTTGTTCTATTAGTAGTAGCACGGCACTTCTTTCTTGTCGTTTGATATGGCTATCAAATTTGCTGGTGAATCACATGAAACCCACCTTCTTCTCATCTTTAAGATGTTATTTTGTGTTTCTCAGTCTCTTTCAATTTTCTGACAAGTAACAACAAAAAAACAGAATGCCCATGCTTCTTCCACTAATGTTTGATTTCTTCTTATAAACTAATAAAGAGAGAACCTGATTATCATCAGTCTATGTTTTGTGAAAAACAACAAATTATATCATGTTTTTCCTTCCCACACCCATGAAAAGCTTCAGTTAATTATGTGGGTCTCTCTTCTATTCATCACATTTTAACCTGATGACAGAAGCAATCAGACTGCATTTTAATTCAGGAAAAAAGTCCATATGACCGATGACACTAAACAAATTATATTAAGAAATTCAAACAAGAAGGTGGATCCATTTCCACTAAACTCCATCAAGAAGACTGAGACATGTGATGAGCCAATTAAAAGTTATTATATGACAAATTTACAAATAATGAATCCAAAGGTACACCAAGTTGTTGTCTGAGATACCAATAACTAGGCAAACCATAGGGACCCACATAGTGTCAGGAGCTAGTACATATCTCCAATTCTACTTCAATAATTTCCAACTGCCAAAGATTGTAATTGCAAGTAACAATACAAATCATGTGTCCATTATGTAAACAAGTTTACTAAGTGAGAAAAATCCATCCAAATATATCTCCTTTTAATTTTCAAACTTCAAATGAGTTGCTGGAGCTGTGTGTTGATATAGCCAAAAATACTTAGGTCCATAAGAGAATCTCATGCCCAAACTTTAGATTGAGGAGACTCAGATTTAATATGCATAACACCCACAGGCATACAAGTCTTTTCCTTAATTTAGCAATATTCGGTCTTCTTCCTATCTGAGTCAAACTTATTATTAAAGCATATGCGACAAATTTCATCATATTAAATACCATGATATGCCAAGCATCTTGCCAAATAAGGACCAATCCAACCAGGTAAACAAATATGCTGTTCAACTATATTTTAATTATTTTGTGCAAGCCAAACGGCACACTCCCTACCAGGTTCTGATTTTGGTATCAAATATTTTAAAATATTTAGCCTTACTTCAAACTAATTTTATCCTCTTCTAATTAATTTCTTTCTTTTGAAATTCCCATTATTCTCACATCTATATCAAACTTCCTAATATTTTCATTTGCCAATGATTGCTGTTTTGACTTCATCTTACCACAACATCTTTCCTTTGGTGACACATCACTACCTTTAGACTTTCCATGATTTTCTTACGTTACTCTTTGATAAAGATCAATTAAAGCCCAAAACTCAAAGTTGAGTATACTTCGGTTTAGGTGGAGTCTGTACGTGTTAGGTTTTAGTTCTCCTTTTTTGTATTGTTGGAATTGATTTTATGGATATTTTATAGATTTAAATTGCCACAGGGATTTTTATATGTTCTAGGTATTTTCAAAGTTATTTTACTATCATATTGGGAAATGATACTTTATCAGATTTGAGTATTTTTTGTTTAGCTTTAGAAAGGATTCTTCTATTGAGAAACGATCTACTTTCAGGTTTGGATATATTTTAGTTAGCTTCAGGAATGAGTTAATATGATTTAATAGGATAGGATTAGATAGAGATTCCCTACCTTTTACTTTCGCTTGAGACTTAAGTATTTTATATTATAAATATGGGTTAAATCCTGAACCTTGTAACATGAAATATAAGAAATTTTTGTTTATGAAAACATTTGAGTTCTCTAGGCCATGTGACATTCAACAACAACAAATTGCAATGTCCCAATTATGTAGGGTCAGCTGCATGGATCTTCTTCCACCATTGAGTTTTACCCAAATCAATATCCTTTATTGAGTTAAGAACTTTTAAATCAATTATCTATAATTTCTAGCAAAGTCTTTTAAATCTCGCTACCCTTTCTTGCATCATTGATATTGATTGTCTCGTCATCTAACTGCAGCATCAAATAGGTTTCTTCGAACTTGCCCATAACAGCTTAGACAGTTCTCCCATATCATTTTTTTTCCTCCTTATTGAGCATAAGCCATATCTACATCACACCTAACATTTTATATCCTAGTTCAAGCAAGACAGCAAGAAAAATACCTACTCCATCTATTATCAAAACCTCTTATAATGAAATTGTGGCTTCACCTGACAACCACTAGCTTCCTTGATAAAAAGGGAAGTCTGATGCCAGAAAAATTCTCATTCACGCAAGGCTGGCATATCCATTTTCATCTTCCAGCCAACAT